ATCCTACAAAAACATGCCAACTATTTTCAACGTGATTTTTACAAAGAACACAACTAAGTGGACAGAGTACAACTTTAGTTTGAAGATTAGTTCTAGTTGGGAGGCAATCTCTGCACACTCTCTAGATGAATGATTTAACCTTTGTAAGGAAATCCAACTTCCACTGTCTTCCAATCACCCTAGAGTACTGTTAAGTGATTAGTATCCATCACATTAGACATGCAACCTTGATAAGTAGACCTAACAAAATAGTCCCCATTAAGAGACCATTTCAAAATCTTTTTGTCCTCACTTTCCAAGTTAGTCAAAGGGATGCTAATGATGGCCTTCTAGTTTTTCAAGTTCAAAGATTTCTTTAATCATGTTAGTGTTCCAATCCCTTTTTTCATTGTCTATAAGATTGATAATTCTTAGTTCGGGGCTTCCAAACATATTACTATAAGTGATGCACCTACTCCTATCATTGTTTCTCAACCATGGTTGATTCCACACAGGAATAAGAGAGCCATTGCCAATTTTCCAACAATAACAATGTTGAACACCCTATATGCTCCTCCAAGTGTATCTCGGGTTATGGTCGAGAGTAGCATAAAGGAAATCGTTATTAGGAAAGTAATTGACCTTGAGAATATGACTAGGTAGGGACTCTGGGTCTATATGAGTCTCCATGTCTGTTTACCATGGCGAGCAAGATTGCAAATATGATAAAATTAAAGTTTTAAACTTTGAATAAATGTTACTTTGATAGTTTGTTACATGCATAAATAACATTCACTTAAACAAATTATACAATAATACAAGCAAATATGTTAACTACGAAATGAACATTCGAGATGGTATTAAAAATAGTAATACAACACCAACTAGACGATTGTTGACTCTTGACAAGTATATTATAAATCAACTTAAAAAATATTTCAAGTAATGCATACTCAAAGGTCTAAAAGATAACCTATATTAAAGATAAGTTAGGTCAAATTTTAGTTTTATAACTACAAAATTAATTATCAATCCTCTTTAAAAATGCACAATAATATACATAATGTTTTATTTTGCTATTATGGTTGATATCTAAATTAGTACTTTTATACAAGTTTTATAATATTGTACATACTAAGTATTTTATAACTATTAAAGGTCTCAAGGACAACCTATATTAAAGATAAGTCGATTTCTCTACAACTACAAAATCCATTATCATTTGTATTGAAAAATTATCAATAATGCAATAAAACTAAAGCTTAGGGAGTATATATCTAAAAGAACTAAATTTATGAAACTTAAATACTCTTTTATTTCATTTTTAGGCTTAAATATGTTTGGGTCTGTGAGACCCTCTTCCACCTTTTCTTTCCTTCCCTCACAACCCTACCTTCACTTTCTTCTTCCCCATTCCCTACTCACCTTGCTTGGGTCCTTCTTTTCTCTTGGTGATCTTAGGTGCTGATTAGAGTTGCTGAGGAGCGGACTTGTTTTTCTCCGTTCATCTTTTCTCCTTCTTCATTTTCTCACTCGTTCTTCTCTTCCCGGAGCTCGGAATCGTCTCACCGAGGTAAGGAAAGCTAGGATTCTTGCTGGTTGTTTGTTGAGTGAGTTAGAAACTCACGGATTTGTGTGATTTTCGAAGATCATGAGCTGTTTTGATGAAAATGGGTTTTCCGGGATTTCGGGAGTTTGATGAAAATTTGGGAATTTTGATGTGTTTGTGGTTGCATGCTGAAAATGAGTTGATTTTCTTGTTGTTTGATGAAAATGTGGCATTTTGGTTGGTTTGCATGTGCTTGGGTTGCTAATCTTTGCAGGTTATGAGGAAAATTTTCAAACTTGGAGGGTTGCTGCTTGGTAGCACACCGGGCGCAGTTCTTGGCGCTGGACGCGTGACCATTAAAGGACACTATTGGGCAAGCTCGCCGGGTGCAAAGTTGTGTGCGCCGGCCGAGCTTGAGAATAGGAGCCTCTGGATGGCCCACGCCGGGCGTGGTTGGACCACGCTAGGTGCGATATCAGTAAGTAACTTGGCTTTTGGGTTTTTGGTGTTGCGCCGGGTGTGACTATGTCTCGCCGGGCGTGTGAGACTCTTTGGAGTCTCTGCCTCCTAGCACGCCGAGCGCAATTAGAATTGTGCCGGGCGCGTTTGAGCCTTGGTGCTCTCTGGTTGGGCCATGCCGAGCGCAACCATGAGTGTGCCAGGCGTGGATATGTACTTTCGATATATGTTGTTATATGCCGATATATGCTGTTATATGCCGATATATGTTGTCGAGCAAGCTGAATTATGATGTTTAAGCTGTGCTGTAAAATGTTGAGCTATGTTGTATGCTGTTATTGTTGTTATGTTGTGCTGTATTGCATGCTGATATAAATTGTTGTAGGCCTTGTTGTTATGTTGTGCTGTATTGCATGCTGATATAAATTGTTGTAGGTCGTAAAGCTGAACTGTTGTAGGTCGTAAGACTGAGTTGTTGTAGGCTGTAAGGCTGAGCTGTTGTAGGAGATTTTCGAGCTGATATGCGTGACGACACATTGTTTGTTTACTACTGTTTTTGTTGAATGATGTGAGCTGTATATGTGATGAGTTGTATGCTGATGATTGCTGAACTAGATGATGTGCTGATAAGCTATAGTTGTTTATAATTGTTGTACTTATATATCTATATATGCTGATTCTTTTCACTAGCTTACCCTTTGTTGTTTCCATGTTGTTTGAACTTTAATAATCATACTGTGTATGGGAGTAGAACAGGGATAGGATGGTGTGCGTGAGGCATGTCTGCAGCTGGCAGATGGAGTTACTTTTGTTGTTTTTGGCCACTAGTTTGACAATTTTGGATGTATTTTGTACATTAAGCCATAGGCTAGACCTTGTGTATATATTTTAGCTGCTTATATATATGCATGCTCTTTTCTGTGTGGTGCTGTGATGTTTTGCTGTGTGACGGCTAGGCGGGTCGTTACAAAATCCCTATAAAATGAGCATGTTTTGATCTTAGTTCTATAATAATTATGATTGTATAACCAAATATATGTTTCATACATGACACAAATTAAATTTTAAATATAATAAAATTTGTTTTATTTACAATATAGTTATAAAATGATTAAGTTATGTTAGCATTTTTCAATTTGAATTTACAAAAATATTAAAAAAATTTAAACATTATTTTCTTATATAATTTTATAAATATTTATAATAAAATAAAAAATATATGTGAGACTCACCAATTATATTTTACATGAATGTTCTCATTCTCTTTGTAATTTTTTAGATAACTTAAACTACTAATTATGTTGATTAAAAATTAAAAATTTAATTTTATAAATAAGTGTAGTTTGAATATGTATGAAAACAGAAGTGAGTAGTACGAATGTACAAGTACCTTACTATTCAAAATCTAAAACATGTATTATTTACTGAGAGTACCTTACTTTTCAAAATCTAAAACAAGTATTTATTTACTAAATTTAATAACCAGTCCAATCTATATTTATACAAGATTATTTGTTCTATAAACTAACATTTTCATTTGTTTTCATATTTTTCATTTACATTTTATATCTTCAATCTCAATATATTCTTCCTAAACTTTCACTGCCCATTTACATTAAAATTTTGACTGTTCCTTATTTTTTAGTTCTCGCTAAAATGTTGTTATTTTATCTTATAATCACGTGTTACTTACTAATTATTTATGAAAAAAATTTATTTCCATCGGCTCGCAATTTAGGCTTTAGACATTTTTAGACTTTTCCTTCTTTTTTATTTTTTATTTTTTTTATTTTAAATTTTACTCCTTTATTGTTTAATTTATAATTTTCCCGTTATTTTTTTTTACGTTCATAATATTTCAAGAATATAATTTTACTAAAAAAAGAAAAAGAGGTGTAATTAATATATATATATATATATAATATATCATGAGTTAAATAAAGAAAGAGAAAGATGTATGTAAAAGAATAAAAAAATACTAAATTAAAAATTAGATAACTAAAAATAAAAAATAAAAAATAAAAAATAAATATATTTTAAGATATTTTATTTTAAAAAAAGGTGTACTTACTTATCATACAATGGAGGTGTATATATCATAAGCCTTACCTATGTTCTATTACACTATAGCTTAAGAAGGTGAGGCTAATGATATATACACTTTATTTATTTATTTTTATTTATTTTTTATTGTTATAAGTATACCTCTTTTTTTTCTTTATTTATTTATTTATTTATTTTAATCCTAAAATATTTATAATTTTTTTATTCTTTAAATTTTTAATAGTACATCTCTAACTTTCAATTTACTATTTTTTCTTTTCACACACTTCCTTCCTTATTTTTTCCAGTTTTCACATGTACCATCTTGTATTCCTTTATTTCCTCACCTATTTCAGTGGTCAGTTTTAGTTCTCTCAATTTTTATATTACTTTTTATTTTCTCACTTCTTTCACCTTTTTACATGCACCCAAATCATAGAACTGATAGGCGACAACATTGTAGGTACGTGTAGCGTCCTCGACAGTTTCTATCAAACTAGATACACGTTTTTTCTTCCAACACTTCCTTTCCTTTCACCCTTCCAAAAACCTTAACATTAAGTTTAGTGTTATGAAAAAGACATTTTCACTATTTTAGAGTACTATGCGGATAGTGAAATCAGTGAGAAAACTGAAAAAGAAAGGGAAAAAAATAATGTAAAACTAAAAAAATTAAAATTAACTACCAAAATAGGTGGGGTGAAGAAAAATTAAGGGAATGCATGTGAAAATAAGGGAAAGAGATATGTAAAAAAAATGTTAAATTAAATGTTAGGAGTGTAAACTAAAAAATTTAAAAAAATAAAAAATAAAAATATTTTAAGAATTTAATTATTATTATTTTTAAAAAAGGTGTGTACTTATTAAAAAAAGGAAGTATATATATATGATCCCGAAGGCGCATATTGAAGCATGAGGCCCAGGTTAAGCAGATTGAATATAAGTCGACCCGGGCCCAATAGAACCCAAATTTACAGTTTAAAATGGACATTTTAGTAAATTAAGAGTGAGGTTGTAGCTAGGGTTCTTCTCTCTGTTTAAAATACAAGATCGTTTACTTCCAAGCCCCGTCCTCAGCAACTGGTTTCGACACAATCGTCTTCAGGTTCCTTTCTATCTCTCTGTTACTACACTGGTTTTAGGCATTACCGAATAATGAACAAACTTCGATTAATTTGTTTAATCGTAGTAAATCCTTTGTTATTTTTTCACTTTTGGGGTTTATGGTAAAAGATTTCAGTTTGTCTTGTTGGGAAGGCATTGGTTGTTGAAGCTTTTTAAATTTGGTGGTTTCCCATATTAATTTTAGCGTATGGTAATGTTGCAGCTGCGAAGTGGCAGCTTTTGCTCTAACTTGAGAAACAAAAAAGAATATAAAGCCTTTGCATTATTGTCTGAATGCTGCTACATAGCACAAGATCTGATTGTTTTTGTTGTTTTGTTTGTGCAGGAGCAGGAAGGAGAGTTGTTTTTCTAGATCAACAAGGAAAATGTCGGGGTATGATCATTTTGCTTTTGTGTTTAATTGTTTCATGTGATTAATTCTGATCTATGACCTCTATGGATGTATTTTTGTTAGAGTATGTTTTGTCCAATTTATGAATTATAATGTTAATAGGGTCCTTTGGAAGTAGATATTGTTGTTCCTTTTAGATTATGAAATAGGTTGGTTCTGAATTCAATTCTATTTAACTTTATTGGTTAGAAAATTGGGTTTCAAAACCCTACAGCCAAGCTGTTTTGTATTACATATTTGGGAACGAATGAAAATGATTCTTTTTCGGGCTATTACTGTTAGTAAAAGTTGTCATCAATTCTTATAATGGTGATAGACTGATAGTGTGACCTAGCCTGTGTTTTTCTTGAGAATATCTCATCACTATCCGAGTATTAATTCTTATATGGGATGCTATGTTCATGATATTTTTATGTATTATATTATATATTTTTTTGTGGGCTGTTAGCCATTATTATTCTGATAGTGTGTCTGTGTCCTACTGTGTGTTTCTCTTGATAATTGTTTATCATTATCTAAGTGACGATTCTTAAATGGGTTGTTCTGTTCACGATATTTTGCTCTTCAGGGAAGAACCTGCCGTTGTTGCAGCCGAGTCAGCTGCCACGATTCCAGGCGAGCCAATGGATATCATGACTGCCTTACAACTTGTCCTCAGAAAATCTCTGGCTTATGGTGGTCTTGCACGAGGCCTTCATGAAGCAGCAAAAGTGATTGAGAAGCATGCTGCACAGCTCTGTGTTCTAGCAGAAGACTGTGACCAGCCTGACTATGTTAAACTTGTTAAGGCCCTTTGCGCAGAGCACAATGTTAGCCTGTTGACGGTTCCTAGTGCAAAGACCCTTGGAGAATGGGCTGGTGTAAGTGTCATTGACAATAAACCTTGAACCTTGAAAATTTAATTTCTTTTGGAATTTCATTTAAACTTAATTTTTGTTGGTTAATATTGAATATTTATCATGATCGTTCTTTAGTTATACTTTTAGGCTAATTAGTTTTGTTTCATTGTTTTTGTTTATTAATTCTGTTGGAACTTCTCTCTGCAGCTGTGCAAGATTGATTCAGAAGGAAAAGCTAGGAAGGTTACTGGTTGCTCCTGTGTTGTTGTCAAGGTATGAACTGTTTAGTAATGAAAATATTTGTTAAGAGTGTTTATATTGCATTATAATTATTTAACTAATGGCTGCTTGCAGGATTTTGGGGAGGAACATGAAGCTTACAATGTTGTTCTGCAGCATGTGAAATCTCAATGAGTTGCAAGATTCATAGATTTTGTTCATCTTTTCATTTTGGGGTTATTCCATGAGAATGAATTTTGCCATGTAGCTGGATTATCTATCTTGGGATTTGATTGTTTAATACGACTTTGTTGCATTCTAGATTTGCTGCTACTTTTTCTTTCATGCATTGTTACTTTAATTAGGAACTTTTGTTTCACTATGACATCTCTGCTTTAAGGTAATAATTAAAATAGGAAAATTGAGCTGATAAGAATTTGAGTCTTATTTGATTTGGCATTGATGATATATCTAGCAATGACAATTACAATTTGGTCTGACTATAACAATTGAAGTTATAAAGTGCCTGAAAAATGGATGCGATACAAGTTTTGGGTGTTAATTTCTTCTACTATTCCCTACTTTCACTGTTACCTTTTTAAATGTATGACATGACATGTAAGTGTAGTTTGGAAGGTGAAAATAAAGTGTTGGTTCTGTTAGTCGTGCGGTTGTTCGGATTGGCTTGTTGAGTCGCTTTTCATGATTTAGAAGCACTCTTGAATGCATCTATGGTATAATTGTTTGACACAATTTCTCGTACGTGGTTCTTGGAGATTTGTATCACCATGTTTGTGTAAGGACTAATTAAGTGTAATTTCACAATTTAAAAAAATCATAAATTAAAAAAAAATATTTGCTATCATATTTTCTTGCCAAAATTGTTTTAAAATTTTGAAGTTGCTTTCTTTTTTAAACTTCACACTATAAATACCTTTTCTCGTTTTAATTCCTTGATGTTGAAGTACGTTGTTGTAGGGGTGCTCAATTCCAAAACGATTAAAGAACCTTGAATACCAAACCATAGTTCAACACTGCTTGTTGTGGTTCAGCTTTTAGGAAGTATCCTTAATTGAACTAAACAATAGTTCAACACTACTTATTAGGTACTTGAATGGCAACAATATGATGCACAACACAGCAATTGATACTGATTAAAAAAAAGAGTAACAATCGATGTTCTATATTTATTTATTTTTAAACTCAGCACAATACAACAAATTCTGCAGGTTCAAATTAATATGCTTAGTGGATTCTTAAAAAATTTAATAAAATATTAGAGGGTAGGGTATTCTAATGATTTTTAATATTAAATATTTTATATAACATAAAAATATAAGAAATTTAAAATATTTTTTACAAAAAAAATATTATGATAGAAAGTTTAACCTGTTGCTGAATTGATTTTTTTATTATTAGGCTTAAATTTGTTTTTAACCTGTGAAAATTGAGCAGATTTTGATTTTATTTTGTTATAAAATTTTGTTTTTCATCCTTGAAACACATGCAAACATTATTTTCAATCTTTATAAAATATTTTTTGTCATTTTTTTTAAAATTTGAATTTTATTTTCATAAATATTTTTTATTAATTTTCATTATTCTAAAATTTAAAACTATTATTTTTAATTTATAATAATAATTTTAAAAGGAGAATGGCAGTTCTGATTCTGAGTTAGGATTATTGTTAGATAATAAAATTAAACCTCAATTTCGTAATTTGTATGCATATTACTCTGTAGGACATGGGAGCCCCCTTGTTTGATTATTTAAAGGAAATACTTATATATTTGAATTGATTTACTCTTCCTTGATGTTGTATGAGTGCTTTGATATCCATTATTAATCTTATCAATGTTGGATTGTGAATTCATGAAGAACTTTAAGTTTATGGGGAAAAACTCTAATTATATTAATGTGTGCATAATTAATGTATGTTTTGACTAATTGTGACATAAAAAAAGAAGTTTTAGACCTTAATTAACAATTTTATCTATCGGAGTAAATGAAAAGAGAAAGTCCAATTTGTGCGATTTTCGCACTTTTGCATGATTTTGAACCTGATGTCATTGACGTGCACTTGATCATTGAAAAGTTCAATCTTCTATGAGCTGCTTTAATAAATGCTGCATCACCTGTCATGTTTTTTTTTCTCATTAGGAACACTTCCTGATTCATTGCTTTGCAAAATTATGGAAGCTAAAATTATATTCTCAGTCACAGACGAAACTTTCTTGGCTTATCAGCAGGGATCACAAGGACAGGAATCAAGCAATCTACCAAGAAAAGTTTTCCTTTTCCAAGGAGAATAGTCGATTGGAATTTGGAAGGTCCTATAAATTTTAGAAGTTGCAATGACGATTATCAATGAGGTTATATTCACTAAGATTTTAGTTATAAATCACAACAGACCATGATTTTTAACTGAGAATGACCAGAAACGTGATTGTGAGACGGAAGAAGAGAAATAAAAGAGTTAGAGAATAAGTATACAAGTTAACAACTGCAGTATTGTGAATTGACAACTATGATGTAGTTGTGGTGCATAGATCATATTAAAGGAGCACAAATGTTACATTTCGTGTTATATCTATATGTATTGGATACATATGTAGTCTTGTAGTTGACTTTTTTTATTACAAATAAAATAAATATGTACCAGTACAAGTTTTAAAATATTAATTAAATTAACACGTTTTACTGTACAAGTTAGTTATAAGATTTTTTTTTATTGTGACACCCATATTTTTCAAAGTCATTTTTTTATTATTTTGTTCTAATTTATAAACTTAAAAATATTAAAATTAATAAATTTGATTTAATTTTGATAAGAAAGTAAGAAACTAAGTAATTACTGAATAAAATTATTATTTTATTATTTAATTTGTCATTTTGTAAGATTTAATAATTATATTTACAAAGAAAAATTAATAAAACAGTCTATGTGATTGGTAAAATTAAAGAGTTATCTATCATATCTCAGTAACCTGAAAGACAAAATAAATGAGATATTTTTTTGATGTTGCAAATTGATTGACTCGGTAAACAAATAATGATCTTCAGTTTCAAAGAATTTTTTTAATTTATACATCACATGCAAGTATGCATCATAGAGTAAGCGAGAAATTGTATCTTTAAGTGCATATTTATAGTTTACTAAAGATGTCAAATAAGCGAATACATGAAAATAGTTTCACATGATACATGATACACATGGTATATGAAAATACTATTTAAGTTTAATGGTGAAGAGATTACTTAAATTAATTTAACTTTTTTTAAATTTATAAATCAAAATAAATAAATAAAAAGATGTTGAGAAATCTGAGTGCCTAATCCCAATTTCTAAACATCAAATAAAAGAAAAAACCAAAAAATCTTGTATAGAAATCTGGTTCAAGGAAAAGGGTTGATATTTTACAACTTGTGATAATATGGTATATATTTTATTTTTTCTATAATCACAAAATAAAGATGCTTAGTTAGAAGTTTGCCTTAGAAATTTGCAATATTCTTTAGAATAGTTAGATTATTGAGCTAACCGGACCTCTAAATTTGTTTTAAATTACTTTTAAATTCATACTAGTTTTACCGTAATGTTAAACACAAATTTTATTATAAATATATATATATTTTTTTATCATGACTTTAGAATGTGATACAAATTCCCTTCTTCATTTTTATTAACAAAGGTTGTGCACTTATACTAAAACAATCATTGTGGTTGTTGTTAGGATGGTGCGTGCTTGAAGTATTTGTCCCTCTTATGTTTATGAGACTATAAAGACATTAGATCAAGTTGTTCCAAGAGTTTATCAATGGAAGTGAACTTGAGGAGTCTCCTCCCTACCCGTCTCAGTTTCTTTGTTATAATCTTTTGGATGAAATCGGCAACCTCATCAAGAAAGTTCATTTTGGCAATTAGAGGCACTATGTAGCCTGAGTCACACACGACAAACAATTTAGTAGTACAAAGTGTTGTACATGTAAATACACACGCAACATGTTTAGTTTTAGAATTTGTTATTGATTTTATAATATTATAAACTATTCATATTTTAAATTTGAAGTTTGAAATGTAATGATAAGTTATTGTGCATAAGTTTGCATGGATATATATGATTCATTGTAGATAAGGTTGTGTGACTATATTCTTATAATATATATATATATATATATATATATATATAAACATTATTTCTGATGAATAATAGAAATATATGTACATACCTGAAACACATATACATATCTCTATTTTAATAAAATATGTTATGTATAAATGTATAATATGCTGGGATTATGTTTTTGTTTTTGTGTATTTACAACAAGGACGAGTCTTGTGTATCCATCAGTCAAAACTAAATTTCTTTACATGTTCACTATAAAATTTATGTTTATTTTTCAAGTACTTTCATTATAAAGTTTTTTTTAATCAATTAAAAATTATCCTTAACAAAATTTGAAATTATTATTATAAAATTTAACAATCTCATCACTCTTTTTCAAAAGAGAACACTTGTAATAAAGATGAATCAAAATGAAGTTATGTTATTAATATCTAAAAATGTGGAAATTTTGGAGTTTCTCTAGTGAAAGATGTAGGATCCACTTTCAACACCTAGGTGCAAATTGTAAATGTCACTTGTCAGCATAATAGATTGATATAGGCGCCAAAGACCAAAGCAGGTTCATGGGTGTGTCTGTCAGTGACACATAAGCACTTTCGGGTGCAAGTGATCAATACTTCAATTCAGAAAAATATTAAATAAGGGCTATGATGGTAATTGCAGCAAGAAGATTACCGAAACTGAGTTCATCAGCACTGTCTCCAACACTCAAAAATTGACGTTAAAGTGCCAATGCTGGAGAAAGGAAATGACCCTTTTAAGTTTTTTTCTTGTTTTTTTAAGGTACCAAGTAACAGGAAGAAAAAAGAAGAGAAGAAAACAAAAAAATCCTAGTACAGTGCATACATAGTTGTTTTCAAACTCAGGAACTGAACGGAGGGGTTATTAAAAATCATTGGTGAGTTCTGAAACTGATAATTTTCGGTGTCTGTTTGCATGTACAAGTACAACGTTAGTTATTTGCAGGGTGAGAGTGAGACTATAAAATTGTTCCTACTCTGGTGAATGTGAAACTCTGCAGAAGATGAGTTCTCTTCCTGACACAGCGAAGATGCTGAAGCGAGTGGGGAGGAAGCTTCTCCAGTCTCCCTCCGGTGATGATCTTCGAGAACTTCTTCATGTAATGTTTTCTTTTTCTGTTGTTAATTCCACTGTGTCTTCTGAATTGATAGTTAGTTTCTGTGTTGTTGTTGCCTATAATTTCTTATGTCTGCTGTAGATACATATTTTTCTCAAGATTTTTTTTTGTTTTCCTGAGACGCAATTGTTTATCTTGATGGTTGCTGTTTCTAACCTCAAATGGATTGGGAAACCTGAATTTCGGAGATTTTCCTGAGATAATGTAGATTTGTGGTTTATAAAAAAATATTATTGTGATTATATTCTTTCTCATGATCTATCATGTCTAATGCCTTTCACTTCTTCTGTAGCATTAAGAGTTTTATTTTTTCTTGAATTTTCTGACTTTGGGTCTCTTTGTGTCTCTGTGACTCAATTCACTTGTCTAATGGGGTGTGTTCCTGCAAATCCCTTTTCCAATTTCTGAATCATTGGTTGAATTGTGTGACTGTCATTTCCATCTTTATACGCCCTTTTGGAAGTCCAAAGCCTCCTTGAAGATCATGTTTTTAGTGGGGTGCTTCCCAGATTCCCTTGACAGCTATAATCTGGGATGCCATGCCAAAATGCTTCACCATGAGGTGGTGGATACTTTGGCAAGAGCAGTGCAAAAGTCTCTACCTTGTAAAGGGAGCCAACCTTCCCATATTCTTGTGAATTGTACATTGAGTGGATTGCTAGGATTTTAAGGGAAGGAGACTGCATCAAAGATTCACCACCTTTGGAAAAGGGAGGGTTTCCTTTGGGAGGTTAAGGAAGCCTTAAGCACTGTGTAGCTATAATCAACAAGTCATATCCAGTTTGTTGACCAGCCTTTATCTCCCACGTAGTGACCATTGTTCATTCATACAGAGTTGCACACAATCCCAAAAACTTGATTCTCACTCAAGACTTGTCACCATCAACTTGCAGCGGCTGTTGACCCGGAGCCAGTAACCCACACTTCTGTTTAGCCAGCACACTTGCTTGTCAGGGACCAATCTTGCATGAATTGCATGGTTGGGACACCCTTCCCTAATGATCAATATCCTAGGACTTCCCTTCAGAGTTCAGACCCCTATTAAATCCTTGCACAGATCAGTGAAAGCAATACAGTTCCAAACCAGATACTAGAATCCAGAACCATAAAATTCCATTTACTCCCAATTGATATGAGAAAGAATTGGACAGCTTTGCTTCAGATGTTTTCTCTTTTATTGTTTTATTTTTTCATTTTCTTTGTGGAGGATATCCCTTATCCTCCAATATCCTTGCAACTTTATTCTCCTTGTTCAAATGAACTTCTGCTATTATGAAAAAAGATTCTCCCAGCTACTCAAGAACAGCCGAGTAGTTATTGACATGTGGAGCTTGATGCTCTCTATCTCCTTGATGTTATAACTTTGGTTCCTTTTGATTTTATTGTATGGTTGCAACAATTAGTCAAATGAATTCACTACATTGTTGAATTTGATCATGAGTTCTATTATATAGCTTGCTGATTAGATGCAAACAAATTTATTTATATTTTTTATTTTTGTTTAATGGGGGTGAAGGTATATTTTACCTTACATCACTGTTTGCTTTGATATGACATGTACTCACAAATTATGCACTAAAATATGGATATAAAGGGTTTAGTTTATGCCATCACTTGAGTTGAAAAGATCAAGTGGAATATCAGGTTTAACTCTTCTCAAGTAACAACATAAATTGGGAGTTTTCCCCATGTATTTCAGTGCTGCTTATGAATTTTGGAATAAAGTTTAACAACATTGTTACAACAGGCCTTCTAAGCTTGATTGATCTCTGAGTTCTCATTTTTGGTTTTCTAATTTTTAGAAATTGGAGCTTCTATTATCAACTGTGGATCAAGATCCAGCCAAGCCAATTCAAGAATCACTTGTACCTTCAATGAAGGCATTGATTTCCGATGAACTTTTGAGGCACACAGATGATGATGTTAAGCTTTCGGTTACATCTTGCCTCACTGAGATTACAAGAATCACGGCGCCAGATGTCCCTTATGATGATGAACAAATGAAGGTTACTGATTTTAGTTTGATGCATTGGTATTTTTTCTATTAATTTATTCAACTATACTGTATAGTGTATACTATAAATGTAACCATAATTTTCTTGTTCAAGTTATAATATAGCATTTCATTTCACGGTGAACAGGAAATCTTCAAGCTCACAGTGGCATCTTTCAAGAAATTGTCTCACATATCAGGCCATGGCTATGAAAAAGCACTTACCATACTTGATAATGTCAATAAGGTCAGATTATGCTTGGTCATGCTGGACCTTGAGTGTAATGACCTGGTTATTGAAATGTTTCAGCAATTCTTGAGATTTATAAGGTTAGAGCCTTGACAGTGTCTTTTATCTGTTTCTTCCTGCTCTAAACCTTTATATGTTTCTTCATTTCCAATTACTTATTTAACAAATGAACATAATCTTTATAAAATTCCCGCACTCAACTTTTAAGTTTATTTTCTATTTCTTCTAAGTGGATATTTGAGATCTGTAGAAATAGTTTATATTTAAACAGTTCCGCAATTTTGGTGAAGCATATTGAAATTGATCACATAACCTTATGATCATTTTTAAATTTTAATCATATGTGAGTTTATCTGCATGCTGTCCTCATGTCCTTGAAAACACATGTTAGACATCCTCTCATTGCTAGGATGTATGTTAGGAAGATAGAGAAGGGCAGCAGGGGATCAAGTTTCATGTGGGCAATGAGGCAAATAGTAGAGATAATCATTAGTGATATGTGAAATGTAATGAATAGAATCAGATGCGTATTTGCAATGAAAACAATAAAAGGAATATGGAGGAGGGATAAGAGGGGTGAGCAAGTTTAGTGTGAGGAGCAAGGGGAGGAAGCAGACCTGGGATCCTGAAGTGTCTGCATTGTCTCTGTTAGATGTCATGTAAAACCATTTTTTAGCTTCCACCTAACAGGTTAGCGATTAAGGCTCATGAATGATTTTATATCTAATAGTCTCCATTTTCTTTTCTGTTTGGGTGTGTTTGTTGCATCTGTTCTTGACCAATGTCTCTCTGATACTAATATAACCTTAGTAATAAAGAGAAGAAATTTGAGTGAATGTTTTCAGTAAAACAGGCCTTTGTCTTCCAGTTTCCTATCATTTTACTTGAGATGCTTCTGAACATGAAGCAACTTTCTTGTGAATTTTTTTCCGTTTTAAGTATTCAGGAATGAGGTGGTGTGGCCAAGGAAATTAGGGTTTTCTTTGCATTTTCCTTTTTCAAATGGCTAGTAGATCATAGACGAAAATTTGAGAAGTTGTTTTTTACATTAATAATTTGATGAAAATGTAGATTGCTTGCTTCAAAAAAAAAAAAAAGAGTTGTTTGCCTTTCCCTCCTTTTCTTTTCCCACTTTTAAGCTTTCATTCAATTCTAGAATTATTAATTACAAAGTATTTGTTCAATTTAAAGGTCAAACCATCCCTGTAATGCAATTCATTCAATGGAAACCATAATGACCCTGATCTTGCAAGAAAGTGAGCAAATTTCCTCAGATCTTCTCAGACCTCTATTGGAAAGTGCAGCCAATGAAAATCAGGTAACTAGCGTTGCATTATATCAATTTTATCTCGTATTTTATTTTCTTTTTGTTTATTTTATCTATTTATTTATTTTGTTATTTGTTATTTTATGTCCTTTTATTTATTTAGTCAATCTGGTTTAATTTATTTTCCCAGACTATTTCACCTATTTCTTGGACAATGGCGGAAAAAATAATTAGCAATTGTGCTATCAAGCTCAAGCCTTTTCTCATGAAGGCAGTGGAGTCCTCAGGCAGGGCTTTAAATGAGTATGCACATATAGTAGCTAGTATTTGCCAGAATGAGTCTGATACCCCTAAATGCGATGATTCAAATTGTTCTAAGAAAACAATGGTGAGTTTTACTTGCACCACTATCAGATAAACTATTATAGTTAATATGTGATACTCTTGCTAAATATTAATTTTGCTGCATATTGGAAATCATGTCTTCAAGTTCTCTAGAACCTTGACTGTTTGTTAGTATCTTTTCTAAAACAACCTTTGAAATTAATTCTTTTGGAAAAAGCAATGATGCTCAATTAAAAAAAAAAAATAGAAATTAACTTAAAGAATCAGAAATTAGGTAACTGAAGACTGTGAAAGAAGGTTAGTTTTCTCTTTTTTTTTGGGGGGCAGGGGGGGGGGGGTTTTGTG